ACTCGTAAAAAAAAGTTTTATTAGCATTAATTTTTTAGTAATATAAATGACAAAATTATTATTGAATACAATTCATTCTAAATATTATTAAATTATTAACGTTAAATATTTATTATTAATTTTTTAATATAAAATAAAAAAAGAAATAAATTGAATAAAAATAAAGTATAACTTCTTACGCGCGTATATAAGTACACGCACCCTTTTTTTACCTATCTATGTTCCAGTATCCTCAAGGGGCTACTTTGGATTTACTCTGACTGATGTTCAAGCTCACTAAGCTCAAAAGGTGTGCTTTGCTTCAGCAATTCATCTACCATCGGGTCGAAATCGAGACCCACTTAGCAAGCCCGGTAATCCGTCGAGAAACTTACTGGGTTCTATGTCTATGGTTTTTTTTTTCGGTCGTGGCGCCGACGACCGCCGGACCGGCGTCCCGAGGGGGAGGGTGATGGGAGAGATGTGCTCCGCACTAAACGCTTCACTTTCCCCCTTCTGAATCTTCATGAGTACTGTCTCATGCGAGGTTTGGACGTTGGTTGTTGAGCGACAGGAGGTTTTAGTCAGTTCGACTCTGACATGCCCCGCCGCCTCCTATGTCTATGGGTTAGCAGAGCACATCGGAGTTGAACTACTTTGAATGGCCTATAACTTAACGACCCCTCGGATGTGGCAGAACTCACCCGAGATCGACCGCTATTTATAAACCTTATCGTTGCCTGTTTTTATGAACAACGATTACCATTTTCTTGAAAATCCATTTACCGTAATTATTCAATAATAAGGTATTCATTGTACATTAAAACAAGCAGCGAACGAAATGTAATATCAGACAAAGCCTTTGTTGTTTGAACGATTTCTATTATTACGAATTAGATTACAATTTATTTTCTGTAATCTGTTTCCATTGGATTGTAGATATTAAGTCTGTCAACTTCTCCCAAATCGTTTAATAATCAGACGCTAGGCTATAATTTAAACAAAGAGCTTTAAAGACTGTCAATAGTTGATATAATTTATTATTGAACAACTATGCGAAACAGTTTTAATGAAATGATAGCTACGTTAGTTTAATTAGTTAGTCTGCTTATTCACCACAACAGATTCACTATCACAGTAAAGAGTTCATTTTGCATGCACGCACACATATGTATGTATATTCATAGGTTACGTACAAATGTTCACGATTGACTTCCACGGTGAAGGAATAACATCGTGTAATAAAATTGAAACCCGCAAAATTATAATTTGCGTAATTACTGGTGGTAGGACCTCTTGTGAGTCCGCGCGGGTAGGTACCACCGCCCTGCCTATTCCTACCGTGAAGCAGTAATGCGTTGCGGTTTGAAGGGTGGGGCAGCCGTTGTAACTATACTGAGACCTTAGAACTTATATCTCAAGGTGGGTGGCGCATTTACGTTGTAGATGTCCATGGGCTCCAGTAACCACTTAACACCAGGTGGGCTGTGAGCTCGTCCACCCATTTAAGCAATAAAAAAAAGCCTATCAATACATATCATTTAAATTCAATCATACTTTTCAGTGACAGTCTTGAGTTCTCCTACAATAAATAATCATAAATATAAACGAAGTTAGACGCACACTCTCATCAAGCTCAGGTCATCATCAGGTTCCTTGTATTATGGGAATCATGGGAATCATAAGAAATTCAGAGAAAGAGCAAATTAAATCTGTTGGAAATCGAATCCACGATCCTTGGCTATACCAGTAGTAACTATTTCACCACCGAATCAGTTCTTCGGATTTTTTGTTCTGTTATTTTTTTACTTAAATTTCGACGTCAACTCGCTAAAGTTCGAAGTTCCAATCTACGTAATTATTGATATCGTTCAATAATTAATAAGCACAATGAATCAACGAAAACAAAAGAATGACCGTTAGCAGCATTTTTATTTCATACGAAACAGAGGGAGTGCGGACAATGACATCAATGCCCAAAAGAGCGATACGAATTCTGTACCATTGCGGGAAAAGACAAAGAATGTCCAATCTCAATTAAATTATATCTTATTAGAGTATTTCAATTAATTGTACGTTAGCTACAAATATCATAAAATAATCATTTTCCACACTAAGCCATTGTATACATATCCGCCACTCAACTGTAGGTATTGTACTAAATAGCCATCCTACCTTTAAAATGCTCGACTGTAAAACGCTGGGGAAAACCTGTTGATACAAAAAGTCCCTCCCACGGGTAAATTTTGAATTACGAAACTTTTGCAATAACTACAACTAAAGCAAATTTTGAATTATTTGAATTTGATTTCATCGCTCTATATGTCATGAGTAGGGCCTGACAGTAAATTGTTTGTCTTCTCACTTCGGACTCGGACCGAATAAGATAATGTGAACTAGCCTAGTGGTATCATGATTTAAATATTATTATGTATTTATAACTATATAATGTACCTCCCCTTTTTCAAAATATACCATGTTTGCGGAGCTGCTACAAAAATATCTTAACACACGTGTAGCCAATAAGTGGGAGCAATTCATTATTGTTTTGACAGTTTACGAAAAACTTCCACGATGAAGCAGCACATACATCGAGTAACAAAATAAAATCGGATAATTTTTTCCGCGAAACAATTAAGTAAGTTCACCCACAAAGCTTTACATGTCTCTTTTTGTTACAAAAGGTAACATTTCTTCACAGTATTTTATAAATATCTTTTATCGCGTTTTGAAGAACTCGTTAAAATCGAATACTGAATTATTTTTTGGTTTTCGTGGGACGTAAATACTTTCATTGTTTGATATCACGTTTTTTCTTATATTTTTTTTATCACGTTCGACCTTTTGTATTTTTAGCATATTTTTTTGCAAAACGATATTTACCTATCGTAATCGATTCGACTAAATTTCCCGCCAAAACGTAACATGAATGCATCGCAGTACCGTGACATTCATAGAGTCCAGCGCCGTGACGTCACTCGACATTCCGAGCATCGTCACGCTGTCACGGCCAAGATTTAAAATTGGAACCAGTTCATGCCGGATGTGCATTAGGGACGATATACTATCGATAAAATACTGAGATTGTGTTTTAACATTAAAACGATTCCCCGAGTTTTGTTGATCGCTATTTATACTAGTAGATAGTTATATTGAAATAATATATTGTTTAACTGAAAACGAAATAAACTCGCACAGATTATACAGGAGTATACTAGATTAAAGTATACTCTATTCTACATAAATGCCATAAAGTTCAGGAAGATCTGTCTGGATAATCGTAAAATTTAAAATCGTAGAATTTAAAAAAAAAGCCTTGATTACGCTGTAATTATAATTTGCAATATTTTTACAAAATGTGGATAGGCAGGCAATTATAGTTGAAAACTCATACTTTTTTAAACAAATTCTATTATTTTTGCTCCGTTCCGAATTATACTTTGTATGGTAGTTATCGTAGCGAATATTTTCTATATTAAAGTCTATTCACCATACGAATACAAATATAATTTATTATCATAACACAAACAAAACATCAACATAATACCACACACAGAAAATAGAAACATAAAAGATAACCAGAAATAGATAATCCAAATAATTAGCGCAAATTATTAATGATATTGGGGAAATAATTAGCAGGATATTGAACAGAAATTTGAGAAGAAAAAACAAAACACAGTGCGCGTCAGAATTCAGATCTGACTGTGAGTGTTTTTCAAATTTTCAAAATATTCTTAATGACGTGTGACCTAAGCGGCCAGGCGTGATACGTTTTGCAAGTTAGTTTGGTACCTTAGTTTCTTTCGTTACATAAAAATTACAAACCATAAATACATTATTATTAAATTATAAAATCTATAGTGAAGATGCATGTTTCTCATTATGATTTAAACGCTGTGTGTTGTTTATGAATTTGTTAATCGGAATACTGGAAAATTCGGAGTTACGTGGAAATAACTATCAGTCTACTTACCAGGCGCCAGTCTACTTACTAGCGGTTGTTTATTTGAGATGACCGCGATTCCGAGCTCGACTGCCCGTAAGGTGATATCGTCTGATTTTTATCAGATCCATCAGGTCAGACCCGTCGTCAGAGCGGAGTTCAAACACCCCTTTATCATGAACGATAATTAAAGTTACAAATTTAATCGATTTCTAACTTATTTATTTATATTAAGCCATAATTTCTGGTTTTATTGATAGATTGCATAGATAGGTGATGGAGCTCTTGGCTCGTCTGGTGTTGAGTGGATTACGGAGGCTGTGGACATGATCACTTGAATGCATCACAACCATATGAGGTCGAATTTTCAACTGTATTACTTTTCTTGTGACATTTGTAGAATATGTACCAATGAGTTTTTTCATGCGAAAATTAACTCTAAGTATAGGAATATAAAAGAAGCTAAAGTTGAAAACGAAATTGAATTTCAACATATTGAAAGGCTCCAGAAATTGCTAATCGTATTAATCGAATACTCGTTCTGGGACAGGGTACGACACAATATCCCTTTAAACCTCTTGGGGTTTTTCGGAAAAGGCCCAAAATATCCAAACGAATTTAAATGTTTTCGAAGCAATTTTTTTTAATGTACCTGTATACAATTTTTGTACAGTTATATTAGTTTTCTGTACCTAACATTTGACTCAAATAGAAACTTTTCAAAAATCATAATTAGAGAATGCGATATACACACTCGTATTTATTGTTATCATTTTGAGGTTATTAGTTCTATAAAATCGATATTAATTTAAATGTATTTCTCGATATTTTACGCCAAGCAATGAGCTGAAACTGGGTAATATTAGTTATTTAATGTTTGAATTAAAACAGTAGTCAAGTTCCCCATAAAATACCAATGGAGTAAAATTTATTTTAGTTGAAATTGTGAAAATCGTTTGAATTTCGTGTAACATTCCAAGTTTCAATTACCTACTTTAATAATAGAACACATTTTACTTTACTGGCTTGTTAAAACTTCTTATTCAGCTGATTACAGAAGAGTTTATCTTTGCAGATATACACGGTGATATCGGACAAGCTGGTCGGGATACTTCTGAGAACGCGTAAACATCAGCTAACGTTCTTCGAAGGAGAAGTATTGTTTCAGGTAACAAAGGAACTGGATTAATCTTCATTAGTGTCTTGCAAGCCTTACCTTTGCAACCGGAACACGTATTAGTACAGGCAGATCGGTTAATGAATGGAAATCCAATTCAGCACAATACAGATAAGATGCTGTTTTTTGTTTGTTGTTCAAGCGACGCGAACCTACCGGTGTTCATAGGCGAGTAAAAACTTTTCCTAGGATGATAAGAATACACGAAGAAACAGAGTACAAAATCAATAAATCGAATTAGTTAATTGGAACTAATCTTAATTTTGTGAATGTAACCTATTTCTGCCGTGAAGCAGTAATGCGTTTCGGTTTGAAGGGTGGGGCAGCCGTTGTAACTATACTTGAGACGTTAGAACTTATATCTCAAGGTAGGTGGCGCATTTACGTCGATGTCTATGGGCTCCAATAACCAGTTAACACCAGGTGGGCTGTGAGATCGTCCACCAAACTAAGCACAAAAAAAAAAAAAGAATGTAGGTATTTGTTGAGGTCTGCCTATAATAAGTTTATATGCTATTGTCAGAAGAAATTTTCTGATCTCTACCGCTTCTATAGCAGGCACTCATTTTAAGGCATCATGAAAAACGTTAATGATTAATAGTCATTTGTTAACTCGTTTAGATATTAGGAATAAAAATATAGTATATTGTTTTTTTTCTAGTACTTTATATGTGTGCAAATTTTTTAAGTTAATCTGATTAACTTTTAAAATTTGCACACGTGTCATGAAGTTGGTGAAACTTTTCGTTGTAAGGTAATTCCATTACATAATTACTTAATTACGTAGATAGGAACAGTAAGTTAACCTAATAAATAACATGACAAAATAACGATAGGTAGTATTTTTCCTATAAATTCCGAATCGATTGTTCGGCACAGTCGTTTTACTGTTCTGACTGACTAAATTGTGTTATACTTTTTCAGAAACGTGACGATGATGTTCCGGTTTTCCTCATGCAACCCATCGACGATATAAGAACGTATTGCAACAACAAAGCGCTTCAGGCCAGAAGATCGGTGTCGCCTATGCCCAATTAAAGCGGAAAAAAAAATTGAAATAATCTTTAGGATTGCCGTGAAACATTTATAATTGTAAAACTTAAAACTAATTACGTTAACCCGATAAGTGTGTTATTATGAATACGTTTTCAAGTACTTAATTAACTTTCAATACTATTACGATTGTACATAATAGTAATATAATGTTTGAAAAAAAAGTCTTATTGGCTCTAGGCTCTTTAGTCGATTAGTTATTGCTGCTAGACCGGAACATCGAGAGAAAACATTAAACAATATTTAATGATCATTTTCTTAATACCACATATTTAATTGGAACTTCGTGATCTTGAAAATATGAAATACAGTACATAATTATTATTTGCTCAAAACAACAAATCGTATTAAGTTCAAGAACCTCTTTGTTCACGAAACTGGGCGTTAATTTATTGTCTATTCCCATTGTTTATTCCAAAATTTGAATATTGTTATTTCAATAGTGTATCAGTCATAAAACATATATGTGTGTGTATCTATTTATGTGTAACAGGAAGTAAGCTAAAATATTCGTAAGAATCTTAAGGTGTCTTTCGTGACTACAGAAAACCAGATGAAAATGCGCTGTTAGAATTTCGATCAACAATTAAATACTTTGGTCAAATTATGGTAGGACCTCGTGTGAGTCCGCACGGGTAGGTACCACCGTCCTGCCTATTTCTGCCGTGAAGCAGTAATGCGTTTCGGTCTGAAGGGTAGGGCAGCCGTTGTAACTATACTGAGATCTTAGAACTTATATCTCAAGGTGGGTGGCGCATTTACGTGGTAGATGTCTATGGGCTCTAACTAAGCAATAAAATAAAAAATCTTAGAACAATTTTAAATGCCACAATGAACAAATACTTTTTTTAATTCTATAGACGAGTGAACAAGTTCACGGCCAGCTTAATGCTAAGTGATTGCCGGAGTCCATAAATATCTCAAACGTGAATGCCGCAAGCTACATTGAGATATGAGACTTAAGTCTCAATTAGATAGGCTTTCAAATGTGTAATACCCAAATTATTGTGAATAAAATCTTATACCTCTGAAATTAACGTCATTACAAAAATACGTTATTAGCTCCTCTAAAGTATTCTATCGAATTTGAAATATTTGTGAAATGTATTTTCATAAATAATGGGCATGTCTTGCTTTTTATTAAGGAAGTTGCAATTTTGAGCCTTTTTCAACTTGTCCCGAAAGTCCCTTTATGTTCGTAGTCGTGAGCTGATAAGATGTTTCAAAATCAATCTCTCGTGAAAATTGTTGTTTCGAAGTACATTAGTATTAGTTTTGCATAGGTTAGTCGTTAGAAATATAATGAAAAGAAGGGACCTTTTATTAGTTTCGTTACTAATTGTTTTTCTTTTCCCATCGGACTCGCATAGTAACTATTATGGTGGTTTCCTATTGCTCCGGTTCCATATTAAACCGGAAACGCTTTTACGAAAAACGTTATTTATTTATGTATGTTAACGAACCAACCGGAGGTCTTTTCCGTAGTAACTGTACAAACAACGCCCAATCAAACCGTTAATGTATCGATCCTATTTCATATTAAAACAAATATGGATAACTCGTGTGAAGAAATCGTTCCAGTAAAAGATTACTAAAATACATTTTGCTTCAAAAAAAAAACTACTGAATTTCAATGCAAGCGCGTAATGTAGTAAGTATAAATTTTAATAGAGCGGGGTTCCGGATCTCTTGTGACCTTTTGTATTGCTTTACATTACGGACTTAGTATTACGAACACAATCACTGAAATTTCCAGTTTTGGAATATATGTATTTATTTTACATTTCTCTTTTGTATTATCATTTACATTTTTACTTGTATACGTTGGAAGAACAATGTGTCCTAATATTTTTTATGATTCATTAAGGATCGTCAGTAGCTACTGAACAAAAAAAATTTGAAGAAATAGTTAACAACAGTAAACAGTTAACAAATAGGCAAAAACAAATCAAACTGTTTTATTTTTGCCTATTTATATAGATAACTAAAAAAAGAATATCTATTTCTCAATAATATTGAAATTTTACATTAAATTTAGGGCTTCAAAAACAGCTACCTCACCATACCTATTTAAAATCATGGTTTGAGATCTGAATTTTCGGATCATTGTACTTCTCTAGTCTTACTAGTCAAAACCCTAAATTAATTTTAAGTCGTTATTATGTAATATATAAAGGGAGTATATAAAGGGAAAGTTATTAGATAAATATCGAAATTTCCTTTAGGACTAAATCTTTTGAAATTTAGTTACCCACATAACGTTTCTTAATCTTTTAGATTAGCTATTTTGTCATGATGAAAAGATGGATAACAAAATTGGTTAGTTTTCAAATTGATTAAGAGAATGCGATAAGTCTTACTAAATTCAAGAACTTGACGCACCTAGATACAACATATTTTATTAATTTGTACTTTTTATTACCACTTTTATACAATTTTACATAACTGTCTCAAGAAGCTTCAAGAAATAAATATAAATTAACAAACTAAGGTAATATTACGTTGTCTATGTTTACTTTGTTTTTATTGATGTAGGTATTCAAATACATTTTTGTGAATTGATTATTTTTGTTTTAATTTAAATTAATTGTCATTAGAAATGTCTTTCTTTTTTGTTGCTCTTGTAGGCAGACGAGCATACGGTCCACCTGACGGTGAGTGGTTACCGTCGCCCATAGACTTTAGCAATGCCAGGGGCAAAGCCAAGCCGCTACCTTTTTTTTTTTTAACGCTGGGGAATCCATTTACGGATACCCGGTCGAGGGGGGTAACGGACCGGGTTATGTCGGACTCCGGCGCCTCCTGAGAGGAAGAAGGGGAGAAGAGAAGGGCCGAGGTCCTTCACCTCTCCCAATTTCTCACAGGAGAATACGCCTTGAAAAAGGCGCGCGAAGCACTTGCCCCGCAGAACGACTACCGACTAAACCCCATCGAGCTCCACCACACCGACTACACGAAACTTACAGTACCGCGATGCCAAGCCAAGCCGCTGCCTACCGTAATGTAAAATGTAAAGGTCTCTATATACTCTTGAGACTTCGAGCTTATGGGTTAAAGTGGGTACATTACATATATCTATGGTATTTGATAAATACTACACCAAATGATTTTGGCTTGATTACCGATTTACGCACATAAAAATAAATTGTAACAACGAACCGAAGTGTAATTGATTACTACTACTTACTATTACTATACTGGCACTTGTACTGGTACTATAGTACATATTACTACTACTGGCACTTGAATAGATTCCATTGGTCGCTGAATCTTCAATTTTCCTCAGCCTACTTGGTGGTGGTAATTGCACAATACTTCGTGAAATTTGGATTTTAAAGACAGAGTGTATTTCTCTTTCGAAAATATCTATCTAAAATATATTAATACGTGAAGCAAAAACTTTGTATCCCTTTTTACGAAAATTGCGCGGACGGAGGAGTATGAAATTTTCCACACTTATAGAGAATATAGAGAAGAAGTGCACAATGCTAATATTTTTTAAAAATAAAGCATAAATGATACATTAAATCAATAAGGAAAACATTACACACACTACATACCATGTATTTGACGCACACACGCATGCATACTATTTATTGTCAAACTTTGGTTCTTGACGTCTGTTGTCAAATTGAGAATAGATTAAATATTGTTTGTCTTTATTTTTTATAATGTAATCTTGGCGAAATTTGTGATTATAGAAGTATAAAATACAATCATAATAGTGTACAAACTTACAATTCCAATTAACTATAGTCGAATTTCGACTACTGCGGGACCTCTAGTTTACTATAATTTTGCATACCAAATTTTAAATTTGGTAATGTAAAGGGAACAATTAACATGGCAATCGTGAATGGAAGTTTTGTCTCCTCTACTTATATAATTACCGACACAACTTCGAGCATTTGTCTAGATATCTACAAACATTTTGTATAAAAAATCTGACAAAAGTGTACTGCATATACATATACTCAAATGACTGATTCACTTCTAATCTTATTGTAGTATACATTTTTAATGAGTTATTTTTTTTAAACATATTATTCGTCCTATCTTATGCTTCATTATATATTTTTATAATGAAGCAATATTTATCCGGACTATTTTCATACTAAGCCTTTAAGATAACACTACTACACAGGTACTACTACATTTTTTACTGGTGGTAGGACCTCTTGTGAGTCCGCACGGGTAGGTACCACCGCCCCGCCTATTTTTGCCGTGAAGCAGCAATGCGTTTCGGTTAGAAGGGTGGGGCAGCCGTTGTAACTATACTGAGACCTTAGAACTTATATCTCAAGGTGTGTGGCGCATTTACGTTGTAGATGTCTATGGGCTCCAGTAACCGCTTAACACCAGGTGGGCTGTGAGCTCGTCCACACATCGAAGCAACAAAAAAAATATATATACTAAAATGCTATATTAGAACTATGGAAAATATCGAGCAACATGTGTAAATTACGACAAGGAAAAAATGTAATTAGTTAAGCCAGCGCTTGGGTTTGCTGGGTATTAATTCGGTGCGAGAGAAAATTGGAGATTTTTCTAATGAAAATTTCTTATGTAAGGAATTGAGTGTGATGATTTCGTTTTCAAATGATAAAATGTACGATGGTAAAATTATATGAAACTACAACGCTAGTTTACACACACTAATGTACCTACCATCAGTAGTGTATCCAAGTTTTTTTTTGTTAATTGCTTATATGGGTGAGAGAGCTCACGGCCCACCTGGTGTTAAATGGTTACAGGAGCCCATAGACATCTACAACGTAAATGCCGCCATTTACTTTGAGACATGAGTTCTAAAGTCTCAGTATAGTTACAAGGGCTGTCCACCCTTCAAACTGAAATGCATTACTGCTTCACAGTCGAAATAGGCAGGGCGGTGGTACCTACCCGTGTTGACTCACAAGATGTCCTTCCTACCACCAGTAACTAAGCAAATTATAATTTTGCGAGTTTCATTTTTATTAAACGATGTTATTCCTTCACCGTGGAGGTCAATCTTGAACATTTGTTAAGTACGTATTTCATTGGAAAACTTGGCACCTGCCGGCGGAATTCGAACACCGATGCATCGCTACATACGAATGCACCAGGCGTCTTATCCTTGAGTCCACGACGACATCAAAGTATTCCAAGTATCTAACTTCAAGTTTTTTTTGTCGGCATCGGCCTAGTATAGCGTCGTTCCATCGTTCCATCTCTTGACATGGGTGTAGGTGTAGGTGACTTATGCCGAGTTTACATTACGAAATTAGTGTCATGCATGTTGAGCTCAGTTTCACGAAAGTAGTTTCGATATACGCGAAAGTAATTTCGTTAAAAAATTAGTGTCGCGAAATCCACAGTATCGCAGTAACCATGGCGCCGTTAGCATCAAAGCTATAATTTGCTATATTCAATGTAGCTAAAGAAATGCTTATATACCTATAAACTTAAAAAAAGACTATCAAGAAAAAAAAAGTTGGTAGATTCGAGGATGGTCAACAAGAAGGCATTTAGGTGCAATGAAGTTAGTCTCTGAATTAGCAGATGAAGATCCTGAGAGTTATAAAAACTATTTTCGAATGAGTGAAGATAATTTTGATTTTTTACTATAGGTGTTTCGGGACCCTTGTCATTGATATTCATTAATAAGATCTATATTTTTTTCTGTACTCCATCATTGGTTTGCCATTTTCAACGCTTGAAGCGCGTCCGAACTAACAATACACACGTCCGCACAGCGCAGGCCCTTTCGCGACATTAGTTTCACGTCGCGTTTACACTATGAAATTAGTTGCATGACATTAATTTCACCAAAAAATCGCGCAGGGCACGAAACTAATTTCCATGCATGAAATTAATGCATGCATTACGAAAGTATTAAATTACACGTGAAACTGTTGGTAAAACTAATGTCACGAAATTAATTTCACGCCACTAATTTCGTAATGTAAATTCGGCTTAAGGGATTTACCGGAGACGGCATTGCTCTGAGTACACTAACTTAATTTGATTTCACCATCCTCTCAATTTCTATCGCGAAGCATTCGTGCATTCCACTTTGTCAGATGCGTGTTACATGATACAATTGAAACTTCAGCCTCATAAGATGGTGATGTCTATAGGCTCCATTAATCACTCTACACCGTATCGGTCATGACCATGAAATGAAATGCGTTTATTTCAGGCAACTCAAGCCCATAAAATGTCACATACAATTACATAACATCTAAATCAAAATACAATAAAATTAAAATTACAATTTATCAGAATGACTAAAAACAAAAACAAAAAATGAAACCAAATCAAAATTATTAAAATTAAAATTGTCAACTACTAATATAAAATTAAAATTAATAAAATAACTAATGTACTATTTTAACGAAATATCATGCAATCACTCACCGGAATCGATGACTTCGTCTTCTCACGCCGTATCACTTAGGGAGAAGGGTATAGGGCAGGAATGGATAAGGATTAGCGATGAGACAATACTTTAGCGTAGACCGTGAATATATGCAGGTACCGTCCCGTTCGAGACGCAAGACAAAGTGAGAGATGTCAAATCGCGAAGGCACCGTCAAATCGCGACCCGTGTTGCCGTGGTAAAAATTCAAAAACTAACGGATTGGTTTCGAACACCAGTCACTGTGTTAGATTAGCGAGAGACAGATGCTTATTACAACAGTGTCTTTATATAGGGGCAGTCCAGTCTGTTTGCAATCATGGCCAGGACCGTGTTGGAGCTGGCCCGCACTCTGACGTTCAAGAATCAATAAAAAACGCACAATTTCGTAGTTTATTGGCATCTCGAATTTAGACTTTGTTCACGAACTTTGTATTTCTTCAATATGGGTTTTATCCTTTTTGGAAAATAGGCATCTTTTTTGGAAACACATATATAATTTTTAATTTCTATAATTAGCGCATATAAGGGCGGGTCGCTTTTTAGTTACTCGCGATTAGGGACATGTTTCTGCTCGAATAATAAGCAGTCGTGTCATCGCTAAATAACGCTAGGTGTATCAGCGACACATCATCCCGCAGGCGGGTACCAATTTTTCTAATGAAATACGTACTTAACAAATGTTCACGATTGACTTCCACGGTGAAGGAATAACATCGTGTAATAAAAATCAAAAACCCGCAAAATTATAATTTGCGTAATTACTAGTGGTAGGATCTCTTGTGAGTCCACACGGGTAGGTACCACCGCCCCGCCTATTTCTGCCGTGAAGCAGTAATGCGTTTCGGTTTGAAGGGTGGGGCTTCCGTTGTAACTATACTGAGGCCTTAGAACTTATATCTCAAGGTGTGTGGCGCATTTACGTAGTAGATATCTATGGGTTCCAGTAACCACTTAACACCAGGCGGACTGTGAGCTCGTCCACACATGTAAGCAATAAAAAAAAAAACATCAGCGACGACCGGAGAATGTCATTAATAAATAAAGATGCGTCGCAGCCTGTTGCGGTTGTATTGTAGTATGTGCGAGCCTAATTGTACTCAAATGTTGTAACAAGATTCGCGATAATACAAAAGGATGTGTATAAAAAAAACAAAAGTAAATCCGTTTATTTTTTATTCGAAATTGTTTTTAGCACATCTATACATAGAAAAATTTACTAATTATTATTAGTTGATAAACGAATACATTCACTCTTAAAACTATTATCCGTGACATAATAATTCATCTTTGATGTGTATAAACAAATTTTCATTTAACACAAAATAATGTTTTAAATTTTCTAGAATTTTTTTCAATTAATAATTTCTTCAATCAATCAAAGAATTTCTTCAATAAATACATAACAAAAGAATGAATCTTGTAAATGTTGTAATTCATTTTGTAGGCAGTATGGCTTTAGTAGCCTTCATGCCCTAAATCTGTCTAGACGTTGAGCGAAGCTTCTTTTTAGTTTAAGCGAAATTAAAATTGGCCCCCTTAAAGGCCAAGCCGATCGTTTTAAAGAGAAATATCAACGTAATCTTTATATTGACGACGGAGAAATTGAGAGACAAAAAAAACGGTGCGCGTGCAACTTGGTGCACGTGAATGAAGTGAAACTTCTTTTTCGATGCGTAAGTATTGTGGTTTTCTTCATTTTTCATCCTTAAATGAGATGAGATTACTCTTGTAATAGAGAATGCTGTGTATATGAGATGCGATAGATTTTTTTTTTTTTTTAAATACTTCATTATAATATTGGACGCTACTCGTTGCTAATGCTGGCGCTAACCTGTAACAGGTACAATACGCGCATGCGTTACAGTGCACGCATTCACTCTCGCTCTGTCTCTTTCTATTCCACGGTAGCGTTTAACGTTTAACGCAACCTTGTTGGAAGTCGCATTAGAAGTTTCACTTCACAAAAAATACGATCCTTGGGAAACCTTTGTTGAAATTTGTTAATAATATTTTACTTTTCTTCTCGTAGCTTAAATATTATGGTAATTCTAAATCTTAATTCAAACTTGAGCTCGTTTTTACCTTAAATGGCCTGAATTGAAAAAATAAAATAATAAAGATTATAAATAAACAATTTTTGTATTTACATTTCATACAATATGAAACAAATAACATAGATGATAGATTTGTTCGTTGAAATGTCTTATCGTTCAATGATATCTTTTTAATTGAAATAATGAATGGATTATCGAACATAATTTTCCAAAGGATTCTTTCATAATTGAGGTCTAAAGGTTTTTTATAATAAAATTATTTTAGCTCATCATCAACATCATCTAACAAAAACAAAGATTGTAAGATATGAATTGTATGATATGACAATAATCTATAAAATATCTTTCCAAAAGTACGCTATTTATAATCTTCACGAATACTAAATTTATGACCTTAAAAATAGATATTTTAGTCTCTTAAGCTCCTTATAAGAAACCCGACCAATGCTTACTTTACCTTTATAGCTAAATATTATATAAATGGCTTTAATACTCTTTGGTGAGTGTTAAGCCATTGCCGAACCAACATTACGATATATATTTTTAGCAAACTTATTCTTTCATTTTTTTAAATAGAGATATAATATATATTTTTTGCGATTACCTGAACGCGTACGTTATAACACTTCACAATATAGCTTACAATATAACGTTCTTTTTAATTCTTCATTAACTTTTGTTTGGTAAGACCGTTTTTTCTAGTTAACAGATCACAACTCTACTTTAAGTATTATAAATTATATCGATTAATACAGAACTGACACAATACTAAATACAGTAAAATATCTTATTAGCTTAATGTATTCTAAGAAAATTTACAAAATTTCGATGAATAAACCCGTTTCTTCAAACAATAAAATATACGTAACTAATGCACAACATCTGAACAACAATGATCTAAGATACTCAAAACCACGGAATATATAACCTTATTTATCTATTCCGTGCTCAAAACGATTTCACTAGAATCTGTAAAATTTCACATACACATTTTAAAATATCACACCTAATTGAATTATTATTAAAAGATTATTAGAATTCTCAGACACATAACAAAATATCGAATTTCGTAATTTAAAATTCTCACAAACTATATTGTGGTTTCTGGGAACACCGAGCTAACAAGGTCTCGCATATTCGCTGAAGAAAAATTAGAAAACAGAAACTATTACACAATAATTACAACAAAACAATAAACAAACACAATAAGTAGCTGGGCCAGGATGGTTACGTACAGCAAAGGACAGAAGCAAATGGAAATTCTTAGAGGAGGCCTTTGTCGAAAGACAAGCTGTTAAGAGGAGAGATAAGCCGAATGCCGAGATATGTTTTAGTATAAGTTAATTTTACAGTTTTCTTACCTCTATTATTATCATTTTATGTTTACTTAAATAACTTAAACTCTAACAGCTAACATATATTACATTACAAATAAGAGGAGGAATATTCTATATATATATATATATATATATTATGTAACCTCCATATGAGTTATGACATAAAGAGGTTAGGAGAGTTTTTTGACGAAGCATGTTGCTGATAACTTTATTTCTGTTATCTGACGAAGCATGTTGCGGATAATAACATGTACTTTTAGGTTAGGAATATTGTGTTCTTTTTTTTATTACTTGAATTATGTGATTTTTCGAAGCATGACTCGACTGAGTCTTAAGAATATTATTGTAGCCTAACAGGGCAACTAAATATTAATTTGTAGTATAAGAGGTTAATATATTATACAGGCGACATAAATGTTAATTTGAATATTGGAACATTAGAAGAAGGAACATTAGAAATATAAAAACATTTTTGAATTTAAATGTCGTTTCTCTTTATAGAGCAACTCAATTTGTGCCATAGTTTTATCTTAAAAAAACGTTATTTTTATGTGAATAAAATAATACATTATTATTGAATATAATTCTAAGCGGAATACCATTTTTTTGGCGAACTTAATGTGAAATCGTCGCAGCTGTGTGTTGGTTTCATGATGATCGCTCGTTCACTAAATGAATGGTGGGCGCGGTATGCAAAAGGCTCGGAGCTTGTTCTCGGGGTAGTCAGGTCATCACGCGGATTCGAAAGACGAACTCGTTTTCTTGACTGTAGAATCAATTTAACAATACTTAGTTAACACGGTGTTTTCCGAGCGCTATGACATGTCCTTCTTCAAACGAGGCTTGCGGAGACTTCTTTATGGTAGGCAGCGGCTTGGCTCTGCCCCTGGCATTGCTGACCTCCATGAGCGACGGTGACCACTTACCATCAGGTGGGCCGTATGCCCGTCTGCCTACAAGGCAACAAAAAAAAAACCACTGCCTCATTTTAATTCGGTATTTGTAGTAAGACGTCAATTTTAATTTAAAAAATAACTCATTACCAACTTTTGAAACGTTAACAGCGAAAACAGTCGCAGAGAATTATGAATGATCGCAGATCTCAAATTACTTTGGAAAATACTGTTGGTTTCCGGAACATTGGGTCTGGTTAATATAAATTTATCATCAGAGATCATAAACATCAAAGCAAAAATCCTACTGATCTGATACTAATTTCAACTGAAAAGCCAATGAGTTTAGGTTGTTATAAGGGTTTTTTTGTTGGATTCTTGATTACAATCATGAGCTCACGGCTCATTTAATGTTAAGAAGGATGAGATAGTTTTCATAACACTTTGTTAACGATTGAAACGTAGACTTCAGGTTTCAATGTGGGTGGTGACATTCACGTGTATGAGCCTTAATTACCACTTAACAGTAGGTAAATCTGATCTTCCTTCAATAATTGTAAGATCGACTATTTGATTGTCATTCTTTTTTATTCGTTCACAAATCTCCACATAAAATTCGAATGATGATACTGATAAAGGCTCTAAACGTTTTAATCTTCTATTGATATTCGATCAGAAAGTCATTTGGTCGAGACAACTGAATACAGCAGATAATAATTTTAAAAACGTTGATGATCATTTTTTTAACTAAATACAATTATTGTTTTAAGTATTCTTTTAGTGTCTTTTTTTTTAATAAATGACTTTTCTTAATAATGATACTGGTATATTTATCATTATATTTATGTTGAAGTAGAAAAGATAAAATGGGCGAAATCAGTAGACGAACTGGGTCCTCGAGAGGTCAAATGAAGTAGAGAAAGACCATTCAAAACGGGAGTACGACGATAGGCGACTGCTGGTGTTTTATGGATACGCAAATTAGATCGGGATCAGTTGAAAGATCTGGGGAAGGCCTGTGCTGAGGCAATAAAATATTTATCCACATCTGCCCAACTTATATTTGTGAATATATGTTGCAAAGATTGTATTGTAAAAAAATTAGATATTGTAGAACACTATTTATGTATATAAATACGGTAATAATACACGAAAATATCGAAAACCCACTTTGTGTCCTTGAGATTGTTGTTCAAAATCCATAAAAAATTATAGATGTTTTCTTCAATTATAAAAATAGTTAAATATGTAAGTTAATATCAATGAAATTCCGCCATTTTGTCGTTTAATAAATTACCAGTGATACACTAAATTACAATATTGAAAGAAAAAACACAGCGCGCGATTATTTGTTATGGTTCGCCCAATCAAATCACTCATTCTTCATCTAGCTTTTATTTTATCTTTTCCATAATCATGAATACCTACAGAACGATGAGCACAAAACAAGCCAAAAGATAATTTTAAATTTAAATTTCGAAACAGAACTCCACAGAAAATTAATTTGAAATTGTAAACTTGTAATTGCAAAACAAACTCCAGATAAATATATCCGTAGAGTTCACTGAGGAACGTCGAAGCAAAAACCGGAAAATTGCACTTGTACTTCTTTTTTTGGATATTGGCAATAGGATTTTTTCGTCCCTATTCGTAGCCATCTTGTATGTAATCTTAAAAAAATGCCTAAATACGCTTTAAAAACCTTTTTGAAACGCTCTGATCGAATATAAACGTTAATACACAATACCTATACAATAAACATTGGTATAATGTTTTAAGAATGACCAAAATTAAATTGTAACTTGTATTATATCGGTTACAATATTTTGAGGTATGTAATATTATTAAGGTCGCTGAAATTATCTGTTCCTCTATTATCTGTTCCTCTAAAAGTGACTGAAAAAGTCACAAGGCAAGTGGCGGATTTGACTTTGAGATATTTACGTGACAACAAGTAAGTGTAACAACAAACGCCAAATGAAAAAAATTAGAAAAAAAGTTCGTATTAAATTGGCGGTTTAAATAAGTAAATTTAGTGGGCGATATGTACTAAATAATATTTATTTATTTACGTTCAAGAATACTCACTTGCGAAATACGAAGCTGGTCCACTAGAGTTATCGTTTCGGGTCTTTTGATTCCTGTGTATTAGAAAAGAGATTAATTATTTTAAGTATCTATAATGAAGTGGTGCTGGTCGATTTAAGTGAACTTGAAGCCATTGTCTAGTAAGAGAAGTTGTTGTAAAATAATGGAGGAACCTTGTAACTCACCCCCTTCGGGTAATCGAGCCGGATAATTAAGTAAATTAGTGGTCCCGTCAAAATTCGACTAAATGTTAATTGAAACTGTATGTTTAAGCATTATTATGGTTCTATTGTCAAATACTATATTTCTATAATATAATCACAGATTTTGCCAAAATTTACACTATAGATAAATAACATTAAAGACAAACAATATTAACCTATTCGGAATTTGACCACAGACTTTAAGCACTAACAAAAGTTTGACAATTGACAATAGACCAAGAGTATATTTAAATACTTATATATATATATATATATATGTTGTGTCAAATACATAGTGTGTGTAATGTTTTCTTTATTGATTTAATGTATCTTTTATGCATTATTGACGTGCAACATCTTATAATTCGATGGAGCCGCACGAAAAAACATGACTCATGGAGGCGTTCCATTTAAGGCTTGAAGTGTAAGCGAAAGCGCGCAACGAGCGACAAAGAGGCACAATCGGCCTCCGCGTTCGGCAGCGTTCGACATCTGTCTCTCTCTATACAATAATACATTTAAATGTTTTCGTCAAGTATGAAGTTCAGTGAAAAGTGAATGTGGTGTCAATTGTCTATACAAAATATCTATCAAACAAATAAAATTAAAATTTTCTTTAGAAATGAAACCATTCCATCAGTATTTTCTTATGACGTTATCACGTTCAACCATCGTCAGTAAGCCGACTTAGGGTGGATTCGACCAAACTTAAATTTATACTCGAGTAACTATACGAGGAATAACCTATTCCAAGATTTTAATCTCGAGTAAATCCATAGTCGTTTTTCCACGTATACTTGCCCTAGGATTAACAATACGCGAATAGCAGAGTGAATGGTGAACAAAAATAAAATCCGGCAAATAAATGTTGTTGTTCAACGGCATAGTGTAAGAGCATAGAAATCGTCAACTCGATTTTGCCGTATTTTAGTGTGAAAAAGTAGCTGTTGTGAAAAATATCCAGCTGTCAAACGTATTATGTTTATTTGTTGTTTGATTGAGGGAATTGTCAAGTTTTGTCGTGTGGTTTTATCTTTTTTCGTTTAAACGTTGCGTTATACAATGCCAGACTATTAATAATAATTTAGTGCATTGCGTTGACTTGAAATTAAAACAGAATAAATATTTATGAAATGACAGAAATCAGATGTTGGACTGACTGCCGCCATTACTTTATTCTAGGAATAGCTCCGTTATTCCGTACGAAAGGGCGGTATAGTAACAATTCCCGAATAGGCCCACTATTCTTAGAATTGTAGATGGTAAAACGTAAAATTGATTTACTCTCGATTAACTGACGAGTTATTCTAAGAATAAGATTTACTCTTGTTTGGTCGAATCGACCCTTAACAGACAATCGATTTTTTTTTTTTAAATATTAGTATTGTGCACTTCTTCTCTATATTCTCTTTAAGTGAAGAAATTTTCATACTCCTCCTCCGCGCAATTTTCGTAAAAAGGTATCCCTTTGTTCCCCTCCCAAAGTTTTTGCTTCACGTATTATTAAGTAAATAAGTAGCTACTACCTAAATAGTACATGTGGCAATAGATCTCAAGTGATAGTTTTGAGTGATTAGTAGCCCTGACTTCGGTACCGGAATCGATACCCGGTTGGACGTAGTCTATTTGTAAAACATATTATTATTTAGTACTAGTTGACCCGGCAGACTTCGTAGTGCCTCAATCGAAAAATAAAAGACCTAAACTTTTGTATAAAATATAAGTAAACTTAAAACAAACAAAAGGAATCCGTCCGACACATCAAAGGAATCCAATTAATTGTTTTTTGTGTTTTTAAACAACATAATATATTATTTATATTTGCTTGAGAAATGACTAGTTTGATTACTGAATATTCAATGATTGAACACTTTACTGAATATTCAAAACGTTTTTTTTTTATTGCTTAGATGGGTGGACGAGCTCACAGCCCACCTGGTGTTAAATGGTAACTGGAGCCCATAGACATCTACAACGTAAATGCGCCACCCACCATATAAGTTCTAAGGTCTCAGTATAGTTACAACGTTACAACGTTAAAATATCAAACCTAAAAATGATCTCATTAAAAAGATTAATACTGCGAGTGATCACACACAATCGTACATTTCGAAAGCAAAATTAAAAGACTTTTTTTGTTTCGCTCGCTCGACTCAATTAATATCAATCCGGTCTCATTTCTATGTTTGTTATCGGATTTTCATTAAAAATATTACCGCCCACATTTTTTTCTATCAATAGTCTCAAGTTAAAAGATTGTCTTGTACTTGTACGTACTATAAATAACCTTCACATGAGCCTCACGTGGATACTACCGTTCATATCTATATATATATAAAAATGAATTGCTGTTCGTTAGTCTCGCTAAAAGTCGAGAACGGCTGGACCAATTTGGCTAATTTTGTTCTTGTATTATTTGCGGAAGTCCAGAGAAGGTTTAAAAGGTAGATAAATATGAAAATGCTCGGAATTAAATAAAAACAACAACTTTGTTTTTCCTTTGATGAGTCCCCCGTCGGACGGATTCCTTTTGTTTGCTTTAAGTTTATTTTATACAAAAGTTTAGGTCTTTTATTTATCGATTGAGGCACTACGAAGTCTGCCGGGTCAGCTAGCTTTGAATAAATATTTATTCAGTATTAAAAGAAATACAGTAGGTATACAGAATAACAAACAACTACAACTATGGAGGCCATGATCTTAAAGATTTTGGCTATTGCCTAAAATCTAACTGTCTCTTCAAACTTCTATTCATCTGGCTACTGGCCTTAGTATCAGTCAGCTGTCTCCCTACTTAAATCCCCAATTATCAATCCCCAACTTTCTACCTTGCTGTAGGTAGGGCTGTGAGCCCGTACAAATAGGCACCAAGCTTCTGTCTATTTCTGCTAAGTAGTAGTCATACATTCCGGGTTAATGGGTTAGGCAGCCCTTTAAGCCCATCAATATATTTGAGTCTTCGGCCTCACGTCTCAAGGTAACCATGTCAATAGTCGGTGTTACGTCTCTAACCTATGATACCTAATAAAACGCCAGATGGGTATTTTTTTTCATTCATTCTTGCTCCTGGCTCTTGAATATTGGCCATTTGTAATTCCACAAAATATAAAAATAGAATTCATTCGCTGTTGAATAACGCAATTGTATTACTAAGGCTTCAATTTCCGATATCGAATAATCGATAAACAGTATTAAGACTTATCGATATTACGACAAACCTGGCAATTCTGTAGGCTTACTAAGACTTATCGATATTAAGACAAACCTGGCAATACTGTAGGCTCCTTGCGTATGCAGAATATCTTCCGTAGGGCCAGAATTAAAGCTCTAAGGTCCACGGTGTAGGAGCCATACACCAGGGGGTCCATGCACGAGTTTGACACAGCCATGATGAAGAAAAAGTCTTGTAATCGCTTTGGAACACGCATAGCTGATTCCCAGTCCAGCATGTACCTGGGCAACAAATTTTCGTTTCAGATGTGGTAGAAATGTTATTTGTTAAGTAATTTATTATTAAGATGCAATTGGTTCGTGTTGTTTGTACATTAGATATGATATTATATATAATACCAATAAACCCACAATTATAAAAAAGCTTGCAATTATAAATTATAAAAAACGATATTTGACGTTGTTTTAATTTTTTTTAAATAAATAAACAGTTATTGTGGCATAACTATAATAGTCAGACATATGCTGTCCCTACACTTTTTGTAAATAATAATGTGTTCTACAAAGTCGTAGTACATTATTTTAATCTATAATCAATAGTTTTCGCAGGGCAGGCGATGTAAAGAATACTTTAGGAATTTTTTTACACCTTGGATTACTTATTTGGTGTTTTAGTAAGGATCCCTAATTTAAAAAAAAAATAGCCTATATCACTCAAGGATAGTGTAGATTCCAAGCAGTGAAAAATTTTTTCAAATCGGTCAGTAGTTTCAGAGCATATTCAAGACAAACAAACAAACAAATCTTTCCTCTTTATAATATTATATTAGTATAGAAGTATAGATGACAAAAAAATTGTAATATCATGTTGTGCTATGGTCTTGTACTATTATTATCAATTGATGCATGGAATATGTCGTCTTGAAGTGGCGCGAGCGAATAGAACTCTATTCACATTCTATTCTAGGGGTACTACCATTTATCGTTCTCGTCGAAGGGCTCGGCGAGTAAATTAACCCACAGACACAGCCCACTGAGTTTCTCGCCGGATCTTCTTAGTGGGTCGCGTTTCCGATCCGGTGGTAGATTCTGCGAAGCACGGCTCTTACTAGGGTCCGTATTAGCATCACTCCGGTTTGAGCCCCGTGAGCTTACCTACTAGTTAAGGTTACGCTGATATGGTCTCTCTAGACCATCAGCTTAGGAAGGAAAAAAAAGCTACAATGATTAGTTTTGCGCGGTTTACACCTAATGGGGTCCAAATGGTCCACCTTACAGTGTTATCTACGCTGCACTTTAAATAGATAGTGCGAAAGTAATATTTTCAAAAAGTGTATCTCTATTATTATGTGTAAATCAATACTGCAATTCCAAACAGTTGCCCGAAATCCAGTTCAATTGAGATTAGTGCGAAAAACCTTTATTCAATATTTCCTGTTTCCTGGTAGGTACAAGTCAATAATTTAGAATACGGTTAAATAGCTGCGCTAAATTAATCGCTGAAATGGCCTCTCAAGGCTATCACCTTAGGTAGGATAAAAAAAAAAGCAACAAAGATCCGGAGCAGTCATACTGCTGAATTCGTCCAAACATACAAATATCCGAACAGATAAATGCGTAAATATTGTAATAAATATCGAAAACAAAATAGCCTGAATTAATAATAATAATTAAGCAATGGTTTTCGAAATTCAAAACTTCGCTTTGTATTTCTAATGAATAAAATTTGCATACGCAACCATTTTTTTTTTATGTTTTAGTAGATGTCCATTTACTTTACAGCAGCTGTGTTCAGCTTTTTATGTGGCTAAGTGGGTACGTAACAAGAGTAAAAGGGTGTCATTACTCTTGAAATATGTAGGGCAAAGGTCTGTTTTCATTTTCCTTTACTCTGATAGAAAAATTGATGGCCTACCATTGCATAGGTAAACGTTTCACCCTTGTTATTCATATGACGAGATTCATGATAGACTAAATAACATATTATTAATCTATTTTTATTTTCAGAGATAGCTGATATACTAAATAACAACATATAATAGCTTAGATGGGTGGGCAAGCTTACAGCCCACCTGGTGTTAAGTAGTTACTGGAGCCCATAGACATCTATGACGTGAATGCGCCACCCACCTTGAGATATAAGTTCTAAGTTCTCAGTTTAGTTACAACGGCTGCGCCGCGCTTCAAGCCGAAACGCATTACTTCTTCACGCAGAAATAGACAGGGCGGTGGTACCTACCCGCGCGGACTCACAAGAGGGCCTACCACCAGTACAACCAATATCTCGTACAAACCCGTATTACCCGTACGATAGTAGTCCGTATCAATGCTTACCATAATGTCATAGTAGCGTAAGGAAACCAGCAACAAGCGAAGACAGTGACAATAGTGACTGTCATCCGTAAAGTCCTCCGTCGAGCGCGAACTAAGGGTCGCTGGTCAGACCGACGTAGGATAACACGCCGGCTATTTGACGGCGGTTCCTTTTCTAGGAATTAAAAAAAAAAACATATTAGTAGGCAGCGACTTGACTCTGCTCCTCGCATTGCTGAAGTCCATGGGCGACGGTAACCACTCACCATCAGGTGAGCCGTATGCTCACCTGCCTACACGGGCAATAAAAAAAATAAAAAAAGATGTGTGGTGTCGTGGGACACGGGATAGGAACGAAGTTCCTTATTATAAAAATATTAATTTTAAGTTCTATTCGAGGTATAAAGAAAATAATTATTCGGGTCGGGTATACATTTTTTATTATGATTTCTTTATTGATAAAAAAAAAATGTTGTTGTTTGTACGTTATTACAAAGTTAAGTTACACACTGTGTGCATTACTAATGTGTACGTTATTACAAAGTTAAGTCGTACACTGTGTACATTACTAATAAAAATCTTACGTTACGGACTTTTTTCCCGGTTAGAGTATCCCTCCGCATCGTCCCATAAGGAACTTCGTTTAATAAAAAACATTCTAATTACGATTTTATTGGTGGTAAGGCAGTAGTCATTATTCAGTAACATTTAAACAGAAGAATAAAACAAATAGCTATTGTAACAACAGGGGATTTCCGATCATAGTCAGTATTTTTGGTTATTAATTGGAATCAGAAGTAGAAATTCGGTTGTGGCTTCTTGCCTCTTGCTGCTTTTTTTAAATCTTTTAAAGATAACCTTAAATAGTTAAATAATTAAAAAGTTGTCCTCGGTAGAACTTCCCCAGACTGTTTATTTTGTCTAGAGTCGTATAACGTCAAACAAAAGGCAAAATTTGTTAGCTAAATGTAAACAGACATACTTCACTGATCTCGATCGAGCAAGCACATCTAAGAATAGTTTCCAATACAAAACGATATCAACTTATTTGATACGGACTCTTGTACTTAATAGAACCTTATTATGATGGCTCATCATGATGATCATCTTATGATGATGTAAAAAGTCTTAATCATTTAATAACAGTTTAATAATAGTTTCTCACGTAAGAGTCATAAAGTTTAAAATTATAATAATTTCACCAACCTGAATTCTGTTTTGAGTTCCTCGATATCTTGTAGAAAATGCACAAATAGCATATTGTTATTACTAACAGAGGCACGAAATACATCGCGCTAAGACAAATGACGTTATACGCTAACTCTTGCTGATGATTCGAGAAGGCTTCAAAGGAAACGCACTGCTTGAAGTCCGGTATTTGCGGGTGTTCCATTACACGAAATACTGCGCTCTGAAACAAATTCAAATTCAATTCAAATTCAAAATCATTTATTTCAACTTAGATGTCAGTATAACACACTTGTTGAATGTCAAAATATAAATAACAATGTTAACTCTACCACCGGTTCACAGTCCTGAGAAGAACCGGCGAAACAAACTCAGCGGGCTTTTTTTTTGTTTTTTTTCAAATTTTTTTTTTTATGTAAGTAATGCACTTTTTGTCTATTACTTCGTGTCTTCAAGTGCTATGTAACGCATGTAATGAACTATCATGTAATAATAATGAGAAACATATATGTATTTTAGTACAATTTTTTTTCCGATGAACCAAAATAAAATATAAATGTGGAAAGGCTTAATAATTTTTATTTTTTAGTTTACTTATTTGGGGCTTACGACAAAGGGAAGATCTTCCACCGAGCGGGTGATATTGCTCGGTAGACCGACGGTCCGAATGTTGTTGTTCGGAACTTGTATATATGCGCTTTATCTTGAAAATGTCGTAAGCGAGATTCAGGCATCTGTCAATTATCTTGCATTGTATGATGGCTACCTGCCACACTTATGCTTAAGCCTCGCCAGGGATTGATAGTGGGTGTGATAGCTTTTATAATCTGTATCTACTCGCTACAATGAAAAAGAAAAAATAATTCATATTACATTGTTTACTTCAAGTGATGCTGGTTGAAGCCAATCCCACATATGATTATTAAAAAAACATCTGGAATATATGTACAGATTAGCTTAACAAACAAAAATGTTACAAAAGACAACTTTGATTCAAGCACTATTCCGGTCACCGTCCTCGTCGAACTCGTCGATTACGACGAAGAATTGCGAAAAGCGAATGAACTAGCCCATAGATAGGATGCTTTTGAGATGTGGTGCTGGAGAAGAATGCTCAGGATACCTTAGACAGCGAAGAGAAGCAATCTGTCTGTCTTAGATCAACTGCAGATCAAGACTAGACTGTCCACACTCTGCCTTCGCCGCGCACTCGAGTACTTCGGTCATATTGCTCGGAAAACACCGGATAGCTTAGAGAGACTATTCGTGACAGGGAAGATCGAGGGAAAGAGACCGCGCGGGCGCAGTCCGACTAGGTGGTTCGACCAAATCCGCACCACACTCGAGATCCCATTCCACGACGCCCTTCATGCGGCCAATGACCGGAGGCGCTGGCGGGACATTATAAGGAGCAAAATCCTGTCGACATATAATGGTCACGACCCTCAGCAGTGAGGAAACGACGCGAGGAGGAGGAGCCCAATAGACACAAACCACTGAGCCTCTCGCCAGATCTTCTCAGTGGACCACGTATCCGATCCGGTGGTAGATTCTGCGAAGCACTGCTCTAACTAGGGCCAGCGTTAGCAAGCTCTCAGGTTGAGCCCCGTGAGTTCACTTACCAGCCAGAGTGTAGCAAAAATAGTGCCATAAGCTACCAGCGAATTGATATAGATAAAAAAGGCACAATTTTTTTCTCCAAATTAGGAATGACTATCGTAATTCTTTTCACGCCCGACCCATATAACTCAGGATTGATAAAATTCCCCAATTTACGAAGTCAACGTCTCCCAAAGAAAAAAAAACAAACGATTTTCCTGATACGTTTCGAGTGATCGGGAATAAAATATTCGTTTATTTATCTGAAAATTGGTTTCCAGCACGCTCAGCTTTTAATTTATTGCCTTTAGCGAAGTATCTAAAGAAAAACTAACTTCCTTACAAAATACCTTGGAGTCACACCGTGAAATCAATAAATTTGAAAGCTCATTTAAATGTAAATTTCTTATCATCCTTGTTAGTGTTCAAAATCTAACGTTTCATCCAGATCATTTTTTTTCTTCAATACTATTTGTATGCTGCATAATTTTTAATACGCTTTCATTAGCTTCAGACGTATGTATGTTAGTATGTAACGGAATCTTTGAACATGAATTTGATCCCCTTCAAAACGTCGGATTAACTCGAAATTTGGTATACTTATTAAGGACCGATGACAATTTAATATTTAAAAAAATAATTAAAAAAATTGAAATTTAACTAAAAAATGAAAAATAAATTATAGTTTTAAAAAAAACTAAAAAAATACGTGTAATGAATGATTGAATGTCAATCTGTCATATGACAATTGATAGTTGTTTAAATAATTTTTCGGTTAATGGACGTTGTGAAATGTGTGTTAAAGAATTATTGAAGAAAGGGCATTAAATGTTGTTTCTTGTTGTTTAGAAGAAACGCAATTTCGTCTTTTCTTATTTAAACACCGTAATTACTATTATAAAACAACATTTTTGCTAATATATTGAGAAAATGGAGAAATTAAGATTTGATTTTACAATGAAATCAATGGCGGATGGAAAAACAAACGTCATATGCATAACTTCCATTGCTACACCAAGTGGACAAGTTTTTGGAATTCCAGTCGAATATCAACCCGTAAATCTTCATAAGGTGATCACAACTACTCCTAACTACACCAGAGTAAAAAACTCTTTAGTAAAAAGGCATCAAACGAGGAAAATATGGATAACTGTGACGGAGGAAATTTCAAAAACATATTTGGATGAAGAACAAAATTTGCAATTCAATGATTGTTATTTGGAAGAGATTTCAGAACAACCTGTTAGTTATGAATCGACATCTAGTGATTCTAATCACATGCTTGAAAAACTGTTAGAAAAACTACAAGAACAAAAACAGCAGAAACCAGAAAAACAAAATTTAGGGAAAATTGCAAAGGATTTTATTATAGAAAAATTCAACGGCCGTAATTCAAATGCATTACAGTGGATCAAAGATTTTAATAAAGAATGTGAACGTTTTCAAATAAACGAGGATAAACAAAAAATTGAAATTTTGAAGAACTTCTTAGAAAATGCTAGTGTAGATTGGTACAGTTGTATGCTGATGAAGCTTACAGTACAATCAGAATGGAGCAAATGGGAGAAAAATTTTTGTGAGACATTTGCGAACAAAGGATGGTCCTCCACTAGATATGCTCTTGCCTTTAAATATCAATCGGGATCCTTACTTGAGTATGCTTTAAAGAAGGAGAAATTATTGTTGGAAGTCAGGAAGACAGTGGATACCGGAACAATTATTGATCTCATAGCATTTGGTTTACCCAATTATGTGGCGGACAAGATTGACAAAGAAACATTACAAAGAACGGAAGACCTTTACAATGAGATAAGAAAATTGGAACATCTGGTGATGAAAAATAAATATGAAAAAAGGAACAGCTCATATAATTTAGATAATAAAGGGAAAAAGATTGACGAAAAGAAACCATGCCCAATCTGTTTAAATGAGAAAAAAGGGAAACGGTTCCACCCAGAAGACAGCTGTTGGTTCAAAGAAAAAAATAAAAAAGCTGTGGTAAAAACAGTAAATAATTCAGAATTGGAAATAGAACTGAATGAGAAAAACCCAAAAAACTAGAAATACCACCATTAATAAAAATAAGTTTACAAATAAATGACACTTTGAAGGTTTCTGGAATCTATGACTCTGGATCTAATGTTTCTTTAATTAATGCAAGATTATTGAAAATACAAGAGAAACAGAAGACAAATGATATGCAAGTTGTAAACTTAAAAACTATTAATGGTGAGAAAAAAACGAAAGGTATGGTAACGCTAAAAATAAAAATCTACAATATTGAAAGAAATATGGATATTTTTGTGGTGGATAATGAAAATTTTAACTATGACTTCTTAATTGGTTTGGATTGTATAAAAAAATTCAAATTAATACAAAATGAAGAACTTAACATCATACAATATCCCGAAAAGAAAAGCATAATCTCAAATGAACATTGTTCTAATGAGAATAATGTAACAAATGTCGGAATTCCTGATGTACTAGGTGACAAAAATAAAGAACAAACATTTAAAGAGAGAATAGAAGAGAAAGAGAAGATAGAGATGGAACTATACTCTGAGATAGTAAAAAAGGGTACTACTATAAATACCAACAAATTGTGTGAAATTAATTTCAATGAACATGTAAACATTGATGAATTTCAAATGTCTGTAAATCATCTAGATTTATATCAGCAATCAAAAATTGAGAAGTTAGTAGATAAATACAAATCTGTTTTTGCTAAGGACAAATATGATGTTGGCTCTGTGCAGGATTATGAAGCCCATATAGACTTGATGGTAGATAAATACTGCTATAAGCGTCCGTACAGATGCACAATTGAAGACAGAACAGAAATTGAAAGTCAAATATCGAAGCTACTACAGAAAAATTTGATAGAGGAATCTTACAGCCCGTTTGCTGCTCCTGTAACTCTAGCATATAAGAAAGAAGATGATAAAAAAACAAGATTATGCATAGATTTCAGAGATTTAAACAAAATAGTAGTTCCACAATCACAACCTTTCCCACTTATAGAGGACTTAATGACCAAAACAGTAAACTGTAAGTATTATTCTACATTAGACATAAACTCAGCATTTTGGTCGATCCCATTGAAAATTCAAGATAGACATAAGACTGCTTTTGTGACACAAGAAGGACATTTTCAATGGACTTGTCTCCCATTTGGGTTAAAGACTGCACCAGCGATTTTCCAAAGAATATTGAGCAATATTATAAGAAAACACAGACTATCTAACTTTGCAGTAAACTTTATTGACGACATCTTAATTTTTTCTAAAACTTTTGAGGAACATATACAACACATATCGAGACTACTGGAAGCAATACAAAAGGAAGGGTTTAGACTGAAGTTTTCAAAATGTACATTTGCAAGTCACCATGCTAAATACTTGGGTCATATAATAGAAGACAATTCAGTTAGACCTCTGAAAGATTATTTAACTGCTGTCAAAAGCTTCCCAATTCCAGAAACAAGGAAAAATATACGGCAGTTTTTGGGAAAAGTAAATTTTCATCATAAGTTTGTACCACATAGTGCAATTATCCTCGATCCATTACATAACTTATTAAGGAAAGATGTGAAATTTGTATGGACGGCAGAATGCCAGGAAGCATTTGATAAAATTAGAGCATTGCTTTGCTCAGAACCAATCCTAAAAATATTTGACCCAGATTCACCGATAAGAATTTACACAGATGCTAGTATCAAAGGAGTTGGAGCAGTGTTGAAACAAGACGATGAAAACGGCGTGAGTAAACCGGTTGCTTATTTTTCGAAGAAATTAACAGAAGCACAGAAAAAGAAGAAGGCAATATACTTAGAATGTCTGGCGATAAAAGAAGCAGTCAAATACTGGCAACATTGGCTTATGGGAAAAGAATTTATGGTATACACAGATCATAAACCCCTGGAAAATATGAACATTAAAGCTCGAACTGATGAGGAACTAGGTGATTTAACATATTATCTATCACAATATAATTTTGAAATTAAATACAACCCAGGAAAATCAAATCAAGAAGCGGACTGCTTAAGCCGAAATCCAGTCTTAGAAGCAAATGATAATAACGACGATTTTTTAAAGGTCGTAAATTTAATCGACCTACAAGAAATAAAGAATGACCAGCTAACAAATCCAGACCTACAAAAAGAAAAGAATAAGCACATATTAGAGAATGAAGTTTATTACAAGAAAAATAAAAGAAGAAATAAGATTATACTGTCAGAAAAACTTAGCAAAGCTCTAATAAAAAAAGTCCATGACACATACTGCCACATTGGAAGAACCCAAATGACAAATAAAATAACACCATTCTTTTCAGCCAAAAATATTACAGCAAACATTAATAAAATGTGTGATGCGTGTGAAACCTGCATTAAAAACAAGTCCAGGAGGAAGTCGAAATATGGTTTAATGTCACATTTGGGACCAGCCACACACCCGTTTGAAATTGTATCCATCGATACTATTGGGGGCTTTGGAGGATCCCGATCAACCAAAAGGTATTTGCATCTTCTAGTGGATCATTTCACACGGTATGCCTATATTTGTACATCAAAAACTCAAGGCTCCAATGATTTCATTAAGCTAATGCAAAAGGTAACAAAAAATTATGACGTTAATATGGTATTATCAGACCAATACCCTGGCATAAATTCAAAAGAATTTAAAGAATTTCTAAAGAATAATAATATCAAAATAGTTTTCACAGCTGTTGATGCGCCTTTTTCGAATGGGCTTAACGAAAGATTAAATCAAACACTAACAAATAAGATAAGATGTAAAATAAACGAAAGCGATAAGAAGACATCTTGGACAACAATTGCACAAGAATGCGTAGAAAAATATAATGAAACAGAACACACAGTTACAAAGTTTGCTCCCAGGTACCTTCTAGAGGGTGAAAATGTGAGTATTCTACCACTACATTTGAAAACAAGTTGTACAACAGAAGATTTGAGAAGAGATCGAAAATTAGCCTTAGAAAACACAATAAAATCTCACAATTATAATAAAAATATATTTGACCAGTACAGAGAAGGGTGTAAATTGGAAGAAGGAGATAGTGTTTATATGGAGAATGGAAATAAACTAAACAGGAAGAAAATGGATGAATTGAGAACAGGGCCATACAAAATACTAAAGAAGATTTCAGAATCGATCTATGAAGTTGACACCGGACACAAAAAAGCAGAATCAAACCTCTACCATATAACAAAGTTGTCTCCAGTGTCTATCTGATGTGATAAACAATTGTAAAATCATTCACTGCCTCTTACAATTGTCTTTTCAGCGGGGGAGATGTAATGAATGATTGAATGTCAATCTGTCATATCACAATTGATAGTTGTTTAAATAATTTTTCGGTTAATGGACGTTGTGAAATGTGTGTTAAAGAATTATTGAAGAAAGGGCATTAAATGTTGTTTCTTGTTGTTTAGAAGAAACGCAATTTCGTCTTTTCTTATTTAAACACCGTAATTACTATTATATACGCTTTATAGAAAATCCATCTAAAAAATAGAAAATCAATTTTAATTAATTTTAATTAAAAATAGTGTAAAAAAAATTATTTTATTGTAAATTTTTTTTCAACTTTCACTTGTCATTTTTATGTCTCACCTGTGGCAGGCTAAGCAATAAAGCGAACGCCCAAGCTACGTAAAGCATCATCTTGCTCCTTTTTCTAGCGATGGCCAACCTCAATGGATATATTATAGCAAAAAATCTGAAACAAAATTTTCAAACTATACAATATTTAGTGAAAACACTTACTTGTTACGACAACCACAAAAACCTATGCTGAAGTGCTGAAGACAGAACAAAGTTTCAAATCTATCGGACAAAGGGCACGAGACCAAAATAACAAAAATTAACACACACATACTGTTATCAAGTAACACTTCCGGCCTCACATAATAAATTATTTACGAACTAGTTAAGGTACATCCTAATAATTAGGCAATATATTGAAATTATTATTGTCTTATAATATAATTAGTAATTTCATAATCAAGTAAATAGTTGATTCATATTTCTTTATACTTATACTTATACGAGTAATATTTTATTAGCGCCTTCCTCTTGACAGCTTCCGACGCAATAAGCCTTTAATGTTATTTATATTATTTAATTCGATATTATTCTTTTTTATTTTTTTATTGCTTAGATGGGTGGACGAGCTCACAGCCCACCTGGTGTAAAGTGGTTACTGGAGCCCATAGACATCCACAACGTAAATGCGCCACCCACCTTGAGATACAAGTTCTAAGGTCTCAAGTATAGTTACAACGGCTGCCCCACCCTTCAAACCGAAACTCATTACTGCTTCACGGCAGAAATAGGCAGGGTGGTGGTACCCACCCGCGCGGACTCACAAGAGGTCCTACCACCAGTAATTACGGAAATTATAATTTTGCGGGTTTTAATTTTATTACACGATGTTATTCCTTCACCGTGGAAGTCAATCGTGAACATTTGTTGAGTACGTATTTCATTAGAAAAATTGGTACCCGCCTGCGGGATTCGAACACCGGTGCATCGCTTCAACACGAATGCACCGGACGTCTTATCCGTTAGGCCACGACGACTACAAATAATAATTGTACGTAAATAATCAACAGAATAATTAAGATAAACAATGTTTAATATTACCTATTAGGTTTGTATTAAAATACGTCAAGATGATTGTATAAATACCGGCGGTTAGCATATTTCTGATTCATTGTCATAAAACACCCCTGAAGTGCCAGCAACAACAGAGTTTCAATTCAATCGAATAAACCACGCGGACGGACAGAACTTGAATAAACTAAAAAAGTTACAGTTATATTTGTATATAACTGTAACTTTTTTAGTTTATTAATGACGTGTAAATTAATATTTTATTAAAAATATTTTATTAATATTTTATTACTACAAATTACACGTCAGTTGGATTCGACACGAAGATTAAATTAAATTTTATGTACCTTTACCAATTTGGTAGAGTTGCAATCAGAAACATACATAATACAATCAGACTAACTAATCTACGTAGATAGACAGACATTCTACTAATTTAAAAATTGAACACTAGACGATGACCGAGCTTTGCCAGGTATTTTTTTTTATAAATTGTGTTTTTTAGAAATTATATTTAAATACGAATTTCATATTGATAAAATGATGAAATATTCCAAGATGGTATAGGCATTTTTAAGTGAGCACGTGAGTTAAAAAGACAAAAATAATATAAATAAATAATTCATTTTCTTGGTCTAACCTTAAACCAAACACACATTGGCTTCGGGTGGCTTAACAATGCCATCTGCTGAAATAGCTTTAGTGTCATTGTGTCTTTAAAGCAGTTAGTTGCTCTCAATTATGAAAAATAGTATTATTATTCGCCAATAGATGTCGGGAAGATTCATAAAGTTGATTATCGATAAAATTGATTATTGAAAACACGAATAAAACAACATTTCTGAAAATAAATCGTAGTTAGATCGATTTATCGCCCCCGAAATCCCCTGTATACTAAATTTTATAAAAATCGTTGGAGCCATTTTCGAGATTCAGATTATATATATATAGGTATATTATAGATAGGTATAAGATAAACCAAAAGAGAAACGAATCCGACATTTTATTACTGTTGGTAGAACCTCTTGTGAGTCGTCACGGCTAGGTAGGTACCACCGCCCTGCCTATTTCTGCCGTGAAGCAGTAATGCGTTTCGGTTTGAAAGGTGGGGTACCCGGTGTAACTATACTGAGACCTTCGATCAATACTATTATTGATCGAAGACTGAGACCTTAGAACTTATATCTCAAGGTATATGGCGGCATTTACGTTCTAGATATCTATGGGCTCTGGTAACCGCTTAATACCAGGTGGACTCGTGAAATCGTCCACCCAACTAAGAAAAAAAAACATCTTAAGTGAAACAAATTTTATACAATGAAACAAATACACTGTATTACTTCTTTCTTAATTAGCTGAAATACTTTCTAAGACAAGGATTCTCAATTCGGATCTTTTTTTTTTTTTTTTTTTATGATTGAAAGTTTACTGGTGGCCCGAAGGCCTTTCCAGTTTCACCAGGACAGGTGGGCGAGCAAAGGCTCAGCCAAGAGGGGTGGGATTTGCTAACAACTGCCCGAGCGCCTCCGAAGGAGACCTAACAACTCAAGAGCAATTGTTTCGCGAATGAATCTACTACCGGATCGGAATCGCNTACTGTTTCCATGGAAATTATAAAATAACGAAGTCTCACCGTTCAACTCGAGACACACTCGTAAGGGGGAATTTGGTATAATAAGGCTGCATTGCCCACAACAATAAAGTAATAAATAAACAGAATTTTTGTACGGTTTGTCCATGCCAGCTTCAGAATGCCTGCTCTGAATTTCAATGTGGATTTCAGAGACGAAATGAGATAGGAGCTTTTATTACAGTCGAAAAAAAAGAAATGGTAATTTGTATTTACATTGTTCATGTTGTTAGGATATCTTAGAAGGTTTGCACATATTGAATTTAGAATGTTACGATAAAAATGAAAAGATAAAGTTTTTTTCTGTCGTTTTATGATTGTTGAAGTCGTCGTGGTTTAAAAGATAAGACGTCCGATGCATTCGTATCTTGCGATGCATCGGTGTTCGAATCCTGCAGACAGGTACCAATTTTTCTAATGAAATAGGTATGTACTTAACAAATGTTCATGATTGACTTCCACGGTGAAGGAATAATGTCGTGAAATAAAAATCAAACCCGTAAAATTATAATTTGCGTACATTCACAGGACTGGAAGTCGATCGTGAAGATTATTTCAGATATTTACATATGGTTGGCGATAAAACTACACGGTTACATTTATTAATGCTATGCGCTGGGGCTCGAAATAAATAAAAATTCTACCGAAGTATAAATTAACACTGTATTAGCACTTCTTCTTCTTCTTCTTCTTCTTAGTCGAATACTTCATTGCTGAAGGTCGTGTCCTTGAAAGCCCTTCGTGACTCTTTGTACCCTCAGCTTCCATTTGCTTCGGTTTTCGGCTTCTCTGAGGGCGTTCGTAACAGAGAGTCCAGTGAGAGCAGTTATCTGATCCGACCAACGGTTTGGTGGCCGGCCGGCGGGTCTTTCCCTTCTACCTTGCCCACCACAATCAATCTTTCAAGGTTCTTTCACCTTCTGGAAGCAAATCGTTCACAGTCTCGTTTCTATACGAGCATATATTATTATATCATAGCACTTAAGAAACACTTAACGATCACTTTAAAACTCTTGATTTGCTTCTTCCGCTTCGCTTCAGGTGATCCGTTCGCTGCTTCGCTTCGAATAGCTCCGATTACTAACTGACTGCGTGCCATCTCTGCAACGCTTTTATAGTCGATACGACATCCCTAGAATTGTCGAGAACATTCCTCAGTCGAGTATTTTCGATGTGTGTTTCCGCTATCTGACAATAGATGGCGTTGTACTTCTCGAGCGTTCTAGATGTTACTAGACCCTTTGATATTCTTTTCGGCTATTCGGCAATAGATGTTGTTACTCTTACCGGCGTAACATTAATATAAATACAACGAATAGTCTTACCCACTAGACCTCCGAGGTTTCAGATAACATGAAATGCGTTAGCGAAGTGTGCAAACAATCTGTTCTAAAAGTAGATTTACATTGTCAATGACATGGACGAATTATGAAAGTATGAAGTCGTTTAAATACGTATCATAACTCATATATTATCCATTACGATGTTATTTGATCTAACAGACATTAAGTAAAGCCCTTAGGCGGTTTAGCGGTATTATGTGGAAGGATAGTTTCGATTAATGAATCAAAGCAATATTATTCTACGCTACATAAATTTTACTAATTTTGAGGAATAGCGCGACTTCTCGATAAATTTGCTGAAACTGAGGACCATAGTAGCAACTAGATACTAGGTATTATAAACTACTACTACGTGGGCCATAAGTTCGTTGATCCGTCTAGATAATAAATAAATAAATCATCCTGTATAAAATATTTCCTGAAATACACACCTGTCAACAGAAATGCAGACTAACACGTTCGAAGACAGGTACAGTCCAAACCCTCTGAAGACTTGTAGAAATTTGCAGGCGACGTTCCCAGCGAGCCAAGCGTTCGTTTTTCGCCATCCTATCTGTGAAGAAATCATTAGATTAAATATATTTTTTTGGGTTGAGTTTAAGGATTTGTATTTCGTAATTAGAATCGATAAAGGCAGATGCTCCTTTAATTATTTTTTTTTGGGCAGAGCTTAAGGATTTGAAATTCGTAATTAGAGTCGGTAAAATGCTCCATCAGTGGCTGCGTGTTAACAGTTAAGGGAGAATCTAATAAGCAATGGTTATTAATAAAAAACATAATAATCATCATAATATCATAAAATCTGTGACTCGCTGCAACATAAATGATTGCTCTCACTCTGCGAAACATCGTGCCACATGGCGTCGCATCGCGAGAGCATCGGTATCGCAAGATCTGACTGATACATGACCACGACCGCTCTGCCAAGAGTGTACGAATAGGACGAAGAATTAATAAAAAATCGAGTATACAACCCCAGCCTCACTGGTGGTAGGACCTCTTGGGAGTCCGCGCGGGTAGGTACCACCACCCCGCCTATTTCCGCCGTGAAGCAGTAATGCGTTTCGGTTCGAAGGGTGGGGTAGCCGTTGTAACTATACTGAGACCTTAGAACTTATATCTCGAGGTGGGTGGCGCATTTACGTTGTAAATGTCTATGGGCTCCAGTAACCACTTAACACCAGGTGGGCTGTGAGCTCGTCCATCCATCTAAGCAATAAAAAAAAAAGCCTCTTCAATTATATTATTATAACCACCATAAAATTATCATCCCAATGCCTAATTGAATATACGTAGGTGTTGTGATTAATTACGGATTAGTAGCGTTGGTTTTTCTTTTTGCTGCATTTTTTTTCCATAATCTAACGCCATCGATCATCGATTTCAAAAATGGTGGCAACATTTATTTTTATTTCCATGTTCTGGTGTACGCACTTAATGCACGTTGAATTTGCCGACATCTATGTTAACCCAATTTGTTGATAAACGATCAGTTGTAAAATTAATCAGGATATTTACATTTATTGTGTTTTTATTGTTATAACCCTTATTATGCATGTTATGCTGTCTTAAACTAAATTACAACAAAAATATATATAGTTTAAAAACTAACAACACAATTGTTCGTTTGTAATTTTTTAAATATTATAGAAGCATACACACCAAGTTAATAAGATGGTGTTAAAAATATAAATAATATAGCAATTCCACAAGGAATAGGTTGCGTTATAATGAATAATACATAATAAAAAAAACTTTCATCGTCTCAAACTAGGATGGACTGAGAGAAAGAGGATATCTGAGAGAAAGGCGTGAGTGGAAAGATGACGTATCATAGGCCTCAATGAAAAAGATGTTGCGCCGACCCCACATATTGATATAAGGGTAAGAAGAAGAAGCTTTAAAATACTCCAAATTCATTTGGGGTTAAGCACAGGGGGTGGGGCAAGCCTCCTTGTATCTCCCCTATTGTGAGCGTAACCTTCACCATTATGTTTTCATGGTCTAAAAAAGGTTTTGTGGAAATTTTCCCGCGTCCGGCTTTAACAAAACCTGAGAGGTCTCTTGGGTCTCATTTTTTCGGACGATTATTAAGAAATTTCCTTGTTTTCGTCAATAGGCTCCGCGTCCCAGGTCTTTATTTCCCACTTTTTTAATCATTGTTTTGTTTAACCCCAATCGAGGCAATAATATTTTTTTGCTGCGGACGGAATTACATAGGATTCGCGTCCGCTTTGATTTAATGACCTTTGATGTTCTGACCGTACGAGCTCGACCTCTCCTTTTACGTCCTTGGAATCTCGAATTTATAGTATCATCTTTTAAAAACTTGTAAAATTATTTTTAAATACCCACGGCTGTCTTTTATTAACCAACAAAATTAAGTTTTTTATTAAAATGTATTATTTACATGCGTACACCCTTTTTTTTAATAAAACCGCCACAACTTCTTATAATGTAATTTGAATGTCACGAAAGGTCAGTATTCAAAATCTATCCAAACATTTCTGGTCATTATTTGTGATTGAAATTAAATAGGATATACTTATTCAGGACCTGACTTACGACCGATACTATTATCCAAACACACATAAATTCCAGTTTAATATAGTATGAAATGAAATACACTTCCTTGCGATTTTCCGCAAAATCCATTAACTTTCACATCCTTAAATCCTTCCAAGATTTAAGACTTCAAGTCGAAAAGTATTACTGTCGCTACTTAGGGATTAATGTATTGTCACTAAGAGATATCACATGGCCGTGTGGGTCGCAAAAACCTTAGTAAATGGACATGTGAAAGATGACTGCAGTCTATGAAAGGCATGTGATAATAACTGTCGAGGAAGGAGGAAATAGTATACTTGTATTAGAACANCTTAAATCCTTCCAAGATTTAAGACTTCAAGTCGAAAAGTATTACTGTCGCTACTTAGGGATTAATGTATTGTCACTAAGAGATATCACATGGCCGTGTGGGTCGCAAAAACCTTAGTAAATGGACATGTGAAAGATGACTGCAGTCTATGAAAGGCATGTGATAATAACTGTCGAGGAAGGAGGAAATAGTATACTTGTATTAGAACAGAGAAGAAAAACATCTATACTATGAAATAAGACGAGTACCAAAAAGTACATTGAGTAACATTAACAGCTGTGTAAGTTGATAAAATATAAAAGGAAACAAAAAACCCGCCCGGAATCTGTGAAATTAAGCAATACTAGAGGTCCCGCAGTAGTCGAAATTCGACTATAATTAATTGGAATTGTAAGTTTGTACACTATTATGATTGTATTTTATACTTCTATAATCACAAATTTCGCCAAGATTACACTATAAAAATATTAACAAAGACAAACAATATTTAGGCTTAATTTGACAACAGACGTCAACAGATTAGCATTGTGCACTTCTTCTCTATATTCTCTATAAGTGTGGAAAGTTTCATACTCCTCCGTTCGCGCAATTTTCGTAAAAAGGGATACAAAGTTTTTGCTTCACGTATTAATATATAGATACTTGTACTAGCCATTTCGTAACTTTTATGACTTTTATCATCCGTCTATTATGAATGGGAGTTTTTATTTATTTAAACGGTAAATTCTATTCTAAAATATCTCTGGAAATCGGAGCGGCACTTCCTAAGGCTCCTTTAATATAGAAAGCTTAATGTAATTCACCCCTTTGGGTCCCATGGAAAGTTTTCGTTCAAGTCAAACCTCACAACAGGTAAAACTTTCAAGCGGCCATTTTTTCTCATCAAAAAGCTCTTTGGTTGGCACTGAATTATGAAAAGAGCTTTTCTCGGGGGCAACTTACATGATACATTATTTTGTACTTGTAGTTCGAACTCCATAAAAACTTCAGACGATATTAAATAAACACAAAAATATTATAAAGAGGAAAGATTTGTTTGTTTGTTTGTTTCGAATAGGCTCCGAAACTACTGGACCGATTTGAAAAATTTTTTTTCCATTAGAAGCCGACATTGTCCCTGATGAACATAGGCTACTTTTTTAATTTTTTTTTTTTTTGGTTTCATGTGTCTTCCGAAGCGAAGCGAGGGCGGGTCGCTAGTATTAAATAAACACAACAAAAAATATAATACGATTATTCACTAATCTGAAAGAATAATAGTTTTTCCACGAAGGACTTAACAGCTTTCAGTTAGATTTTATTTATCAGACATTACATTTATTTATCATTTCATTTAGACATGTAATGTACCTTCATTTTTCTCATACAGATTATTTTCTAAATTTATTTTTGTCTCTTTTTACATTAGATCAGTAGACGAACTCACAACCCACCCTATGCCGAATAAATCCGGGAGCTCATAGCGAACAAGCTGCCTCGTGACTTGAGATCGAATGGTAAATTGGTTAAGCATTATATTATATTAAATTTATTTCGTTTCTGTATAAAGAAACTTTCAACAAAGTAAATGCGTCGCTCCTTCGCGTTGTAGCCTTCCCACCCTTATTAATCACTATAAATGAGACCTTCTGTGAGGACATTAATCTCAATAAACTTTGTTAGGTAAGCGCTTTAATGAAATAGCTTTCAGGTTTTAAAATAATCAAAGAACCAAATAGAAGAACAATTTAAAATCTTCATCAATAGTTTATGAGTCATGGCGGTTATATTATTATCACATCATTTTATGATCTTAATGTAATTAATGAACTGAGCTCTCGGAGCCATAGGCAATTTATGTTTTTATTAAAACATCCAATTGTTTCATCATTAGACCTTCATGATGTATATGTTTAATATTTTAAACACTACAATATTATTACAATATGTTACTGGTGGTAAGACCTCTTGTGAGTCCGCGCGGCTGGTTACCACCACCCTGCCTATTTCTGCCGTGAAGCAGTAATGCGTTTCGGTTTGAAGGGTGGGGCAGCCGTTGTGACTATACTGAGACCTTAGAACTATATCTCAAGGTGTGTGGCGCATTTACGTTGTAGATGTCTATGGGCTCCAGTAACCACTTAACACCAGGTGGGCTGTGAGCTCGTCCACACATCTAAGCAATATAAAAAAAAAAACAAAAAAAAAACACGTGCACTTAAATCTACAACAGTTTGATTGAAAAGCACTTTTGAAACTGTTCGGCCAATATCTCGATAATAAAGTTACCATTAAACACACTTGTTAATATACTAACACTATAAATCACTCACTATAAACCATTGTTTTAGGTTTTAGGGAGCCTGTCACAACAAATAAATTAATGTTTAGTGTTTTGGCTATTCCCAACATTCCTACTAGATTCCATTAAATAGAACTCCATTTGGAATTTGAAGGAAATTTGGCGAATGGAAAAGAGATTCGGTGCCATTATCTACACTAGTAGGGCTGTTCAGAAAAAGGCTTGTTTTTATGAGGCCCGCGACGCATGTTTTTAACAAAAAAAATTTTGAATATAAATATTTTGCACAATAGAACACTTTGTCAAAACATATAGTTTACATAATTTTGTATACATAATTTTCCTATTACTCTGTACTGTCTTCTTTTCTGTGTGTACATAAATAAATAAATAG